GATATGTTTATTTATTTGAAATCAATTTTCTTAAAATCTGACTCTAGGATTTCAATAATTTTTTTTTAAAACTTTAGATAAATATGTTCTTTATTTATTCTATTTTTCTGGTCATTGCTTCAACTTTTTTTCAATATAAAAATTAGTTTATACTGTAATGACTATTTGCTAATATATATATATATATATATACATATATATATACATATATATATACAGTACTGGAAAAATTATTATGGATTTTTTAAAATAACACAATTTATGCAACAATTTTAGTTAATTTTATTATTTAAAGTATTATATTTCACATAAATTCTTTCTATTTTCACTATACATTCATTGTGTACCATATTTTTCATAAATGTCAACATTTTTTATCATTTTATAGATGGCAACACGATTTTTATGTGTTGTGTCATAATTATGCATATTATGCACATTTATGTTAGTTCGCTGCGTTCCGTCACGAGGGCTTGTCGTCGCTGAGAATTAAAGTTTTTATAACATTTTATTGAAGTTTTAAGTTTTTTTAATATTATCTAAACCAAAAAAGTTACTTAATTTTTTTTTATTTCATTTAGTTTTGTATATAAAGTCATGGGTAAAAATAGTGATTTAAGTCCTCGTAAAATTGGACAAATTAAAGTTTTACTAGAAGATTCTGAACTTAAACAAAAAGAAATCGCTAGGAAATTAAATATATCGACACAAATTGTTAGTCTGATTAAGAAAAAAATTGAGAGAGGGATTGATGTGGGCTCTCAACGACAAGGAAACTGTGGGAGGAAAAAAATAACCACACCAAGAACCGATAGAAAAATCCAAAATATGGCACTTAAGGATAGAAGAGCAACATGTTCGAAGATTTCCAGTATGTTAGGGGAAGAAGGAATCTCTGTGAGCAGAAAAACGGTAAACAATCGATTGTTAGAGTTCGGATTGAAAGCATATCGTCCAAGAAAAAAGCCACGCCTTACAGAAAATATGAAAAAAGCAAGATACGATTGGGCAAAGCAGCATGAATCTTGGACTTATGATGATTGGCAAAAGGTAAAAATGGTTTTTTTAATCTTAAATACATTTAGGAATGATAATCAGTTAAATTACTTTTGTCTTTATTAATTATTTTAGTTGTGATGGGGTCTTGTAACATTATAATAATACGTATTTAATAAACAATAATTTTCAAATTTTAACTTAGAGGTAAGGCACTCTCTCTCTACTTTCTCTAGCAGTTAATTTTGTTTCAGGTTGTGTTTTCTGATGAGTCGACTATCGCAATTTTGGATGATAGGGTCCAAACCGTACGTTGACGACCCGGGGAAGAATTTTTGCCAGAATGTTTGAAGAAGACTGTGAAATTTCCTCAAAAAATAATGGTATGGGGGGCATTTTCGGTCCATGGAACCAGTCGATTGTACATCGTGGATGGCACAATGAACCAGGACAAGTACATTAAGGTGCTAGAATCTCGACTAGTGCCACAAATTAGGGAATGGTATGGGTCAGACTTCTGGATTTTCCAGCAAGACTCTGCACCTTGCCACAAATCCAAAAAAGTTATGACTTGGTTCCAACAAAATGCTGTCCAGGTTCTTCCTTGGCCAGGAAACTCGCCCGACATGAATCCCATAGAGAATCTATGGGATATACTAAAAAATGAAATCCACCAAATACCCATAACAACAAAAAGCCAACTGATAGAAAGGTTAATACACGTGTGGTTTCACTCTACAAAAATTAAATTTTTGTGTAAAAGTTTGATTGAGAGCATGCCACATCGTGTAAAAGCTTTAATTCTTGCGAAAGGTGGCCAAACAAAGTATTAAAATGTATAAAAATGTGTAATACGTGTAAATAAATCATTTTTGGTTATGAACTAATGAACAAATTGTGTTTTAGTAATGCCTTAAGTCCGAAATAACGATGTATTTTAAAAATCCATAATAATTTTTCCAGTACTGTATATATATATATATATATATATATATATATATATATATATATATATATATATATATATATATATATACATATATATACATATATATAAGATACTTATATATATGTATATATAAGTACATTATATATATATATATATATATATATATATATATATATATATATATATATATATATATATATATATATATATATATATATATATAATATAAGTGCATATATATATACATATATATATATATATATGTATATATATATATATATATATATATATATATATATATATATATATATATATATATATATATATATATATATATATATGTATATATATATGCACTTATATTATATTGAAAAAAAAGCAATGACCAGAAAAATACAATAAATAAAGAACATATTTATCTGAAGTTTGAAAAAAAAATTTGAAATCCTACTGTCAGATTTTTAGAAAATTGATTTCAAATAAATAAAAAAATCTATGATTTTACGTTAAAAATAAGACTACATCATTGGCATTTCAGAAATTAATTAACAAATAAACTGTTGCCATATAGAATATTCTCTGTAGTTAATAACCGTAGCCAATTTAAAAGTTAAAAAGTTTTCTGTATTTTTTTTACGCATGCGTACCTAAACATAGCGCTTTTTACTAATATCTAAACGACCGTGCGCCAAATGTATTACAAAATCTTTATTGTATGAAACCTAAAAACAAATATAATCTTCGAATTAATAACAATCTTATTGCCGTAAAAGCAAAGACCAGTTTTTTTTTTCTTATCGAGGTCCTTATCTCTGAAACAAAATCGTCTTACCGAATTTTGATTTTTCCACCGAGCTGACTTTTGCTTCATTCAAACAGAAACTTAAAAAAATTATATTTTCAATTGAAAATATCTTGATTTATTTTTAATTTCTTTTTTTGTTGCTGTTGTTGTTTTATTTTGTATATTATTTGGTTTAACATTTTATCTTGGCTTTTTTAACATTTTATCTTGGTTTTTAAATACTTTTGCATAAAGGTGTATCATTATTATTTCACTAATTTTTGCATAAAGGTGTATCATTCCAGTATTCAAAGGACTTCAGTCCATTGAATACTGGAACATCAGAGAGCAGAGAACGATATTCAAAAATTTAATGGAAGAAAGCATTCCAAGAAGAATCTATATTAGAATTTTAACTTCGAGTATAAACTATTAGTTTTATGACCTCTGTATTTTTTACCAGTCGACTGGTTTAAAATTTCTGCTATATTATCTTCTACGTCATCGTTATGACGTTTGATAATGATTTTTTCCTCCTTAATCAAACACTGCATGAAGCTTAGCTCCAGGCAGGTGCAAATTTTCATTATTTCGTTAATTAAGCAGTTTTCCTTATTAACATTAGATATTTGAGTTTAGATCAAGGAAAGACAAGTCAGATCGCTCAGTAATCTGATAAACATATTCAATTTGTTTTGAACGAGGATGGTAGATACGTCATCGATTTTAAAGTAGGAATGCTGTATTTTGAAATACTAAAGAAAATTTTAATGCTGATCTTCCAACAGCGTCTAATTTATTAAGAAAAGTATTGTTATAATCACAAGTTTCTAATCCATATGATAGATTTGGTATAGCGAGAGATTTGAACAAATGCACTATAGTTACTGGTTGACAAAAACGAATTCCAGATTTTATAAGAGTTCTGGAGATTGATTGAAATTGAAAGAGCTCAGGAGATTGATTGAAATTGAAATTGATATATAATAATATATATAACTAATTTTTATATAACTAATATCTCTATATAACTAATTTTTTGTATTATTAACTTTAATTAAAATCTAATATTTAATTAAAGTTAAAATTTTGTATTATTAACTTTAATTAAAAATTAATAACTCTATATAACTAATTTTTTGTAAAAAAATTAGTTATATAGAGTTTCTTTGTCTCAAACTTTTGCCTCAAAAATTTGAGGTAAAAGATAACATAAAGAAAATATTGCACTGATTTAAAAATGTGCAACTAATTAATACCTTATATTATAAGTTATAAATTTTTTTTAAATTTTTTAACATTTTTTAGCATATTTTAACTTCAGTTTAATTTATTTTGTTTAGGGGCTTCGCGATAACCTTTTTTAAATGAAAATTTCTTTATAATTTTAACTGCGGTACTATTTTATTTTCATTAAAATGAATGAAAAAATATAGCTTAATCTGGATTTTGGTTAAGGCAATTAAAAAAAGCATAATTTTGGAGTACCCTTATTGGAGTGAGTCATATTTGTAATATTCTTTCAGATGCCAAGAAAGTACAAACGAGTGTTGGTTAAAGCCTGATGCTCATACAATAAAAGCTGCTGCGCTGATGGCTGCTGTGATGGCCTCTGTGATGGCTGTTAAATTTAGGAGCTTATCACTACAAGCAGCTGCACAAGAGATAAAATAAATATAAAATTTCAAAACCAACTTTTGGAAAAAAACTTGGTTTTGAAATAAATACAACGGAAAAAAAGGTTAACAAAGAGACTTCTTAAACTAAAAACAAGCAACTGTGGCATTTAAAATCGCGATGTTTTGAAGATTTGTAATATCTGAAGCAGGGGCGAATCTAGGAATAAAAATAAATAAATAAAGTGACGGGGGGGGGGGGGGAACTTTACTTCTTTAAAAAGTTTCAACTGATTTCTAAATAAAAAATAAAAATCATCCGACTGAAATGTGTCAAATTCCCGACTAACCGACTATATTTTTCAAAAACCAATTATAATTTGAAAATCGCCTTTATTGGGATATACTTTTTAGATATGCTCTCATTAGAATGCTGTTAAAGGATATATGGGTATAATCATAATTAAGATAAATAAAAAATATATGATATATATAATAAAAATAATAATGATAATAAAAATATATGATATAGATAGGATATAAGTTTTGAAAGAATTTTAAACAGAAAAATAATTTATTCGATGGAACAATGATTTTTATAAACTTTTAGTTAAAAGACCAAATGGTTATTTTACAGAAAAATAAAAAAAAATACTACTTTTCGAATTTAATCATCATGTCATAAATTTTACAGCAAGTATAAATACACATAAATCAAAAATACACACGCAAATTCCAATATAAACTTTTATATCTATGTAAAAAAATTTTACAAATTCCCACCAACAATAATATTATAACTATATATAAAGTATTAGTTATATATATATATAATCCGTGTAATATCATAAGAAAAAAAAGATCGATACAATATATATCATATGTTCTAGTTGTATGCAACAATTGGAGCTAAAAAAAGTTTATAAATTAATAAATAAAGTTATTCTAAAATAACTTAATAGCGACAAATTCTTTGGTGCCTATTTTAAAATAATTAGTAGTTACCAAATATAAAAAATAACTCGGTTACAAACCTTTTGGAGATTCTGGCTTGATTTCTTTAGTAGCTATTTAAGTATAAAAAAATTTACATTAATAGCTCAGATAATTTTTCAGGTCATTAACAAATATTTATACAAATTTGTTAAAAACTAAACTTCTGATTTGCAATATTCTAATCCACCGTAAGTATGTAAACTTACAAACAAATTCATAAACCATGTGAAAACGTACCTGGCAAATGAGTAGTGGATTGAGACTGGCCTGCTTCCTTTTTTTCAGTAACTACTGGTGCAGAATTAGTGGACAAAGATTGAAGTTTTTCCTTTTTTTCAGTAACTACTGGTGCAGATTTAGTGGATAAAGTCTGAAGCTTTTTCTTTTGTTTAGTAACTACTAAATGAGCAGTTGAATGAGTTTGTGATGTGTTTTTTTTTCCAGTAACTGTGAAGAAAAACATAATTTTATTGAATAGACAGCAAATTAAATAAAATTTATCAATTTAATTTATAAAAAAACATGAATAGAGATATCACTTGACAAATTAGCCAATATATGTATTCTTTATTACTCTTTGTTACTCTTTATTCCTCTTTATTAATTTTTGTCTATTGACAAAATGTCACCACTATTGACAAAATATTGACAATTTAAGTTTAACAAAATTGTATAATATATATTTGGTCTATTTAGAAATTTGTTATTAAAATTTGTTATTATTTACATCCTGCAACTAACCTGGTGAATGAGAAGGAACATGTCCTGCATTCTTATGTCCTGCAATAGTGAAAATATAACAAAATAAAGATTTAAACTTTGCCAAAACAAGAAAATATTATATATATATATATATATATATATATATATACTGTATATATTTATATATATTAACATATATAAAAAATAGTAATAATAAGAGTAAATATTGACTTATTGCATAAAATTGATTATAAGAAAATAGATTGGCAATTTGTTTCAATTTGTAATAACTTAGTTTGTAAAGAAATTTTCACATTGAATAATTTTTGTTGGTTGTTCAGTTAGTTTATGAATTTCTTTTCTTGTTCCATTACCTGGGCCATGTTGGTAGCTTGATGCAGTTTTTCTATTTGGTTGGATCCTCTTGACATTGTTAAACTATTTTTTAATTTTAAAATATTAAATTAAGTCTCCTCTATTACTTGGTCTCTATATACTTTCCAATATGTCAAGACCAAGTATTTCCAGCCTAGTTTTATATGGTAGGTGTTTAATTTCAGTAACAAGTTTGATAGGTCTTCTTTAAACTTTTCCGAGATATCGTTCAAGATGTTTCATCAAGTGAGATTTTTGATTAATATTGTTAAATCAAATCTCTGTCTTTGCAATTTTTTATTGTAGATATTAGGTTACTGTTATCGGCAATTAATTTGCCGACTGTTAAAGCTAATTCACACATATTGTTTATAAATGTTGGGAAGAGTAAAGGTGATGATACAGTACCTTAAGGGCTACTATATAGCACCTTGAGCTAATTAATCTATTTTTACCCAATACTATGCCTTGCTTCCTATTTGATAAGAAGTTTCCAATTCATTTAATAATCTCCTAATTGAAGTTGGGTTATATTGCTGAGTTTACATACTACTATAGTTTATTTGTGGTTAAGTTAAATGATATAAAAAATAAGTTGAATGATTTCAACTAGTTTATCTTGTTGACTAATAAACTTTAATATTATAAGTACAACTACATTGTACTTATAATATTAAAGTTATTTAAGATGAGTTTTTCTATTATCAATATAGTTATCATAAGTTAAGTTGGTAGTACTTAGTTATGAATCTTCAATAGCGTGATATTGATTACCAAGAGCTGTAAGTAATCATTAAAAGTCAGTTGATACTAATTTTCGATGATCTTGAATTCAACAGTGCTCTAATCAACTGAGCAAACTCAAAATCTCTCGGATCTCCCAGAACAATTATGAATCAAAATTATAAGATCCATGTTCAAGAAATATCATAATTATTGAACATATATATAACAGATATATATATATATATATATATATATATATATATATATATATATATATATATATATATATATATATATATATATAAAATATATATTAACATATATATGTAACTGAATACCTAAGGAAAGCGAACAAAAACAAGTTCTGTTTGTACACAAGTAATATTTATAACCTGAGATAATGAAACATGAATTTAAATCTCTAATACTGCTGATGCCTATTGAAATATAAATTTAAACACTGCGCTAGTTAGCCTATGCTAGTTAGCTATTCTGCAACAATTAAAAATTTAAATTTAAAAAATCATGTGTTATAAAACAGCATAAAAAATGATTAACAAATATAATTGAATTTGTTTAATATCAGTTTTCACAACAATAATGTAAACATTTTAGGTGTTAACATAACAAATAAAACTATTATAAAAGTAAATTCAAAATAAGTAAACTATTCAAAGTTAAGCATATATTTTTATTGCACAATAAATATTAGGCAGATATATATTAGATAAATATATATATATATATATATATATATATATATATATATATATATATATATATATATATATATATATATATATATATATATATATATATATATATATATATATATATATATATATATATATATATATATATATATATATATATATACTGATCTAAAAATGATCTAAATGGCAGTATAAAAGAATAAACAGAACTTTCCTCTATAAAAAAAAACATTTTATTACGAAAATGAATTCATAATATAATAAAACCTATATTTAAAATAGTAATGAAAGTATTAATTGGTGTAGCGGTAGTGGTGTAGTAATATAGTCAATGTGGTCTAGTAGTAGAGCACTCACCTCGTAAGAAAAGTTCAGAGTTTTATCCCCATGATATGTGTGTGTGTGTGTGTGTGTGTGTGTGTGTGTGTGTGTGTGTGTGTGTGTGTGTGTGTGTGTGTGAGTGTGTGTGTGTGTGTGTGTGTATGTGTGTACAGATAAAAAATAAAAAAAAATAAAAATCACATAAGTTTAAAATAGTTTTGATAACTGTAAAACAAATCTTTACTATAACTCACCTAGTGAATAGGGATTTGAATGATGTTGGATCTTTTTCTTTTTAGTAACTGTGAACATATGAATATTATAAGATTTCTTTCAGTAATTGCAAAAACTTGTATAGTATAGTAGATATAATGTAAATCTTAAGATTAACTAGGATTCGTTTATATAACTAATTAAATTTTAAGTCGTTTGCAGAAACTTTCATTATTTATTATCAATATCTATTTTATGCGCTACTTCGATAAGAGAACATAAAAAAGTAGAGAAAAATATTATTGGAAAAAGTGAACATAATAAATAATGCACTCAACCTGTTAAATGAGAAGGAACATGATGTTCTGCATTTTTATTTCCTGATATTGTAAAAAAGTAAAATAAAAAGACATTAAACTTTGAGTTCAGTGACACTGCAGTTATAATTTAGGATTTAAAGTACCATATTAGGATTTAAAATAATTTTTTTAAGCTAAACTTTTGTTGTGGTTAATGTAGCAAATTTTATCAAGCAATAATTTTCCCTATTAGTAATCTCATTATTATTACAATTATTATTGTTACTTTTATTATTGTTTTTTTATTACTATTATTCTTTAAAGGTTATCTCTAATATGTAAAATTAATATTTAAAGGTTATCTCTAATAATATATAAATATAAACAAAATATTATATTGACACAGAACTTATTAATTTATTCTATTAAAAATTGTTTTAAATAAATATACAGAGATATTTCAACTTCTAATTGTTAGAACCATTTTTCAATCTGAGACATTAAAAATCATTGTACTGCCAAGATAAACTAATTTTGACCTTGATCTGAGTTTGTTGTGTTAGGCAGGCAAACTCAAAATCAAGCTAAAAATTAAATTATCATTGCTGTGCAACAATTTCTTTTGTCTTATATTGATAAATGGCTCCAACAATTTAGAGTTTGGAGAAATCTCTGCATAATAATTTGAAACTATTTTTAACAGAATAAATTAATACTTACTTTGCCAACCTGATGTTTTATGCTTAAATTTACTATTATTATTATTATTATTATTATTATTATTGCTATTATTATTATTGCTACTATTATTATTATTATTGCTATTATTATTATTATTGTTATTATTATTATTGTTATTACTATACGACTTATAATAATTAGTCTTATTATTATTATGCTATATGTAGTAGATTATTCTCACCGCCTGAATTATTCCATCCCCCTTTGAAAAATTCAAAACGAGATTTGTAGTAGATTATTCTCAACGCCTGAATTATTTCATCCCCCTTTGAAATTCTAGGAGGAAGAAGATAATTCAGATGCAAGTTTAGTAATTTACTTGGGGGGAGGGTATAATTCAGGCAGATATTTGTAAACTATTTTTACATAATTATACAACTAATTTAAATTTAATCAGTTAGTTTAAACAGAAATTATACAACTATCAACTAATTATTAATTATTTTATAGTTGTAGAATTTTAATCATTATTCTTTAATAAAGATCAGACCATCTTACATTGAGGGATTTACAAAGGGGAGGTATTAATTCAGACAGATATAATTTATATCTGACTAAACTTTATTTTTTCATATTTTGTTATATAATAAAAGTATTTGTAAAATATTTTCATGTAAATAAATAACTAATTAGTTTATAGTTAATTATTTTCTATTACTACCACTCTTTCTTATATCGTCTTTTTTTTTATTAATTTTATGTAAATTTTATTTCTAGGATTCTTGTCCCCTTGGCGCTTTTTTCTCCTTGTTTATGGTTACTAAGGTAGTACACTTCTAACAGTTATAACCCGAAAGCGCAATCTAGGGTGATAGAATAATTCAGGCGGTGGGAATAATCTACTACATATAACATCAATGCATAATGTTTTTTAATTACAAGCAAACATTTAAACAGTAAAAAATGTTGAAACAAAAATGAAATTTAATATAACATTAGTATTAGATAAAAATTAAAAAAAAATAAAAATAGATTTTTCTTACCAAAGTTTTCTAATTTGATTCCTTAACAGGGCCGACGACACGGGTTTTGAAATGGGTAAGGGGGCATAATCATCAAATTTGTGAAAAAAGTCCTCTATATCTTAAAAAAAAACTTCTTAAAAAAATCTCTTCTTAAAAAAAAAATTAAAAAAAAAGGTCCTCCGTAAAAAAATGAACGGGGAGTGGGTACGTGCCCCCTGCCCCCTTCCCTTCGGTGTTGTTGGCCCTGCTTAATACTAATTTTATATTAAATTTCATACTTGTTTCAAAATTTTTTAATGAGAAAATAGAAAGAAAAAAACGCTTTAAATGATTTAACATTTAATATATTATTGTTTTTAAATAAAAACCTGGTGAATAAGGCTGGGCAGTTTTCTTTTTTTCTGTTACCACAAGTGAATGTGTAGTGGGTTGAGATGTTTTCTTTCCTTCAGTGGCTGTTAAAAATAATTTTTATTATTATAAATTCCAAAAATCAAAAACCTTACAAAACTTTTTGGTAAAAGTTTTTATTGCTAATAATTCAAACAAACGAATCTGGAAGCATAATTTCAAACTGTTAGGTAAGGCACCCAGGGCCGTCCTGAAGAGATTTTAAAGGGAGGGGGTGATGTGTCTATTTATTGCCGACTAAAGCCAAAAAAATTTTTTTTGATCGCTAAAATTAAAAAAAAATAATAAAAAAAAGGTCCTCGTTCTCCGATATTTGCCGACTGCCAACTATAGATCCAATTTCGCTGACTCCAGTTCCAATTTGCAGACCAAAAAAATTCGTAGGGCTAGATACCCCCTATGCACCCCCTCGGGAAGGCCCTGATGGCACCATGATGCAGAATCAAATAAGAAACACGTCTTGGTAAAATCGTAAAAACACCCCGTAAAATCGCATCCCTCCTACAAAGAAAGGCCCCTCACACTTTCAAAATTATAGTTGGTTTTTTACCCAACTTTTAAAGTTATACTTGGTTTTTTACCGCATTTAGTCGGTTAGTCGGTTATTTGACACAATTCAGTCGGGTAAATTTTAGTTTTGAGGACATTTTTTTTTTTTTTTTATAGAAGCTAGTTGGTACTTTTTAAGGATTCATCCCCCCCCCCTCTCTTTTTTTTTTGTAGAATCTCCTCAGGTATTGGAATGTATAAGACATACGAGGCTTTATCCCGGTTAGAACAAGACTTGCTTTAAAAGTTTATAATCATATTAAAACGTTTTTTAAACGTCTGACACACATCTTGTACACACTGGGATGTTTCTAAAGGCGCTGTCGACACTGGAAAGGGGTTGTGAGCTTCCTTGTTAAATGCCCTTCTGCCGTGCAGGAGAGCATTTAACAAGGAAGGTTTATTAGGTCTTTATGGAAGGTATTTAACACGGTTTATTTGGTCTTTATAGAACACCTTTAAGACTGAGGAAAGGAGGAATGCAAAAGTGATGCTCTTTTTGCTACATAACATTTGTTTTAATACCAAAGAGCGAGTTGTTGAAAACAATCAAACAAACTAATTGCTACATACCAGCCTTTGTTGTAATTGATCCAGTTACGGAGTTTTCTTTTACTGGATAATAATCTGCAAAATCAGATAAAGTAAATTTTAATTGAATTTAAAGTACTTTATATTTACTGTTGTAGTACAAAATATATAAGTCTATAACCTTACCATCTTGTTTTACTGGATGAGCAAAGCTTAGACTTCCGATGAAAGCGACGGTAAGATATAACACGAGCATCTTTACAAATACTAAAGAACGTATATATTCTTTATACATAGATAACTTATTAATTACTCTTATTTAATTATTTTTGAAAACATAAATTAAAATGTAAATTCACGTTAACATTTTTACCTCAACCAAGTTTACGACTCTACAAAGGTGTGCCATTGAATTAGTAGCAGCCCAGCATTTTATACAAAAGCTTAACATTTTTTAGGAAGTTTACTTTTTTTATATTGCTTTAGCTCATTTAAGAGTTTAAATTATTTCCTGTCACCTTTTTATTGTTTTTCGAAATATAAATTAATAAACAACCTAGTAAAAGAAATGGAAATGATCGGAAACAATTAAGAAAAATGGAAACGATAGAAACAAAGTAAACTTATGTAAATTATCATTATAAACTTCCCTCAAATAAACCGCAAAATTATATATTGAGCTGCAACGTAATTTTCAAAGAGTGAAACCACACTACAATATTTTGCTTTCCGCTTAGTGACACTGATTATGTAGTTAACAAACAAATGAAAACAATATATTTCTGGGGTTAACTTTTCTTCTTTTTTTATATTAGTGTTTTTAATTATAAAGGCGTAGACAGTTCCACAAAACAAAACATTATGACAAAAGATTATGGGGGTTAAAAAAGCAAATTTAAACAAATTAAAATGCATGTAGAAATCTGTTACAAAAAATATGACTTGAATACATGAAACAAAAAAGCATACATGAAACTTTTTTTTTTGTTGTTCTTTTTACGCGTGTTTTTATTTGTAATTTGTAGTGTGCTTATCAGCAAAAAATAAATCCAAATAACTATTATATAACAGATATTTGTAATTACCGTACGTCTAGTTTAGTTACTTTTTAATACTTTTAAATTTTGTTTTTTAATCATTTTTTATAAATATATTTCTAAAGACAATATATTGTTTAAAAGGTATATACTTGCTGATGTACAGACATTTTCTGAAACAGGTGTTACAAATACTGAAACTAATCTATTAGAAAGATCATATAAATATTTGGAACATTTTTTAAAATTTTTAAATATTTTTGTTAAAAAAGTATTTATTCGTAAAAAGAAAAAATGGGGGTATGTGGGTTTTGCAGTTTAGTTTTAATTTTATTTTTTATTTATCGGATTCTAAAAAGTTTAAGTCTATGTTCGTACACAAACAGGGTTCGTATACTGGTTGGAACACTCTGAGCCGAACTAGCCAAAGATAAAAAAGGAAATTCTAACATAAGACTATCAAAAAACGTCAGGTGTCTATTGAAAAATTAGATTTTATATGGAGAAAGCTGGGAAACAAGATAAATTTATATTGTCTTTCTGGCTACAACTATCTAAGTACAGTATTTCTAAAGTATATGACGTGCACATTTTAAATATATTTCACTATTATTCAAGAACAATTTGGGTTAAGCAAATGAGAATACGATTGTATTCACTAAATAGGTTTTGTTTTCTTATACAAAATATAGCTTGCGTAAACCTTACAAAGTAGCGAGAAGCTTGCAGAAGGTCATCAAGAAACCGCTTTGCATTATTATGTATTTTTTGTAAACTATCTTTCCATTTTTATTTACAAAATGAGCATATTATTTTGTTTGTAAATTCATATTTAAAAACAAAATAATATGGTCACTTTGTTCTCGGTTTAAATAGACAAACAAAAACCAAAAATTATCTAAAAAAAAATTTTAAAAAACGAAAAAAAATTTCCTAATCTTAAACAAACACTTTATTGCGATACAAAAAAATATATTTTACTATATTATAAACATAATTTGTTACTTGTGTAAGTAAACATGACTTGTTATACAGTAAATGTTTGCATACATTTTCAGTATATATTGAAAATATTGTTCTTATACGTATAAAATAAACTTGATAATTTTCCTATATGTTCCTACTCATTTTTTTTTTTTTTTTTTTATAAATGTTTTTTTTTAGTTTTTACTTTTTAGTTAAAAAAAAAAATCATAAATTTATCTATGTTTAAGATGAAATTTTTAAATATTATTTCAGTTTATTCGATTTTGTAAATTTAATATCTTTGGGTATTACTTTGTTGAACAGATAACGACCACAAATCTTGTTTTATTAATTTCATTATTTTCTATTTTGAGTTAAAGTAATGTTAGAGGTACTTTTTTTGGTTAGAATGAAAAAAGAATGAATTGGTTTTTTCTGTGTTTATATAAATTGGTTTAAATAAATTGGTTTTTTCTGTGTTTAATAATGATTTAATAGATTTGTACAGATTGTTGAGTTTTTCAAGTTCAATGTTTGTGGTTTTAAATATTTCGGCAATAGATGACGTATAATATAAATTAGTATCATCTCTAGACATGAGAACATTCAGTTTATTTAAGGTCATTAATGTATATTAAAAAGAAGAGGAGCGCAAGAATGGAACCTTGAGAGACACTGCATTTTATTTTAAGTAAGTTTGAATTGCTTTTTCATAAGCAATAACGCTTCTTCGTCTGTTCAGCAAGAAACATTTGAATTAGTTTATAGCGACACTTTTTATCCCATATTTTTTAATATTTTAAGTAAGATTATATGAATTAAAAAAAAAGTCACATCAAAAAATACAATACTCTTTACAATAAACAAAATAAAGTTTAAATCAAAACAACAAAATTACTAAAAATAGAAATATTTTGTGTTGAAAAGATAATTTCTTTTACTTTCCTTTTAAAAGAAGAACAAGACCATTTAAAAGAAAAATCAAAATTAGGTAAAACTATTTTATTCATAAGAAAAGGACCACGATAAAAAATTTATAAAAGAGTATTCGAATATTTCACTAAAAATAACTTATTCTACCCAAAATGATTCGGATTTCAAAAAAATCACTCGACTGAGCATGCAATTATTAAAATAGTCAACCAAATAACTGATGGGTTTGACAATAACAAATTTACTTTAGGAGTATTTATAGATCTATCTAAAGCATTCGACACAGTCGACCGTTGCATTCTCTTACAAAAAATTAAGCATTATGGTATAATTAATACAACCTATTTCTGGATTAAAAGTTTTCTTACTGATAGAAAGCAATATGTTCACAATGTGCAATCCGGAATATTAAATGTCGTTTGCGGAGTTCCACAAGGATCAATCCTTGGTCCGCTCTTATTCTTAATCTATATTAACGACTTTTGTAATGCATCATTAAAACTGAACTCAATAATGTTTGCAGACGATACTAATTTATTTCTTACCAATAATCATATTAAACATCTTTATACAGATATGAACATAGAATTGAATAAAGTAAATAGTTGGTTTAAAGCTAATAGACTCACACTTAATGTTGAGAAAATTAACTATACTCTATTCCATTAAGAATTAAACATTCCTCTTAAATTGCGCGAACTGTACTTAAATGATACAATAATTAAAAAGCAAGCATGTATGAAATTCCTCGGAATCCTTGTCGATTAAAATTTATCCTGGCTTCTCCATATAAATTACATACATTCAAAAGTTACCAAAACTATTGGCGTAATGTATAGGGTTAGACCATACGTCAATATGTTAAGTATCAAATTAATATACTTTGGACTGATACACTGTTTTATTAATTATGCAAATATATCATGGGCAAGTACGCAAACTTCAAAACTTCAAAAAATTTATAGGCTCCAAAAACACGCTTGCCGTATTATATACTGTAAACATAAACGTGAACATGCAAAACCTCTTATGAGAGATATGAAAATGATGGATATATTTGAAATAAATATTTATCAGCATCTAATTTTTATGTATAGATACTATAACAACCTCTTGCCAGCAAACTTCAAAGATAAGTTTGAAATAAATTCAAATGAAAAGTATGGTCTAAGATCAAATAAAAATAAAAACTTTAAATTGCCTCGGAAATGTAATAAACTCTCAGATTTTTGTATATCTTATCGAGAACCTAAATTATGGAATGACTGTCAAAAGGAATTTAAATTTATGGTGAAGTCTTTAAATTCATTTAAGTTTCAATTAAAAAAAGAAATTTTTAAAATTTGAACTTAAGATAAAGTTTTTTCTTTTTACTTTTTTGATTAATTTAACCTTGTCTTGACTTTTTAATGATAACATTGATATTATTATATTTTTATACGAGCTATTTATTCTTACGTTGTTTTATTTAAACTTGTACCAAGGGGTTTTATAAAAAGATTGCGATAACGTTATGTTATTCTTATCTTCTTTGAGCCCCTATCTGATTTAACTTAATTTTGTTGTAATGTATATACTTTTATATTTTATTTTATGAGATTCCATATGTACACGTACATTGTAATAATATTATACGATGTTAATCAGAAAAAAAAATAAATAAATGAGTTGGTCATTTTTAGCAAAAATGGCTCGTGCATATTTTTACCAACACGAAGATCGTATTTGCTTTTAGATTTTAAACTATAAAGATTTATAAATACACTAGGTCATTTATTTTCTATACATTTAAATATAAAACATAAAATATTCCAAACATTTAGTTCGTAAACTATTTTGTTCTAAACGTTTCAAAAAAAAACAGGAAGAACTGAGATAAGTTTGTAGTTATTTAGTGTTAGTGAATCCATGGTTTTTAATATTGGTTCAACTTTTTCTATTTTTTAATTTTTCCGAGACAAATCCTTTAATAATTAAAAACTTAAATAAATCAAAGAAGAGTTTTTTTTATAATCGGGTAGACATTTATAACTACACTGTTACATATCTCGTCAATGTCTGGAAACTTATTTACTTATTGAGGGTTTTTTGAAGCTTCTACTTCTTCATTGTTTTTGAAGTTTCTACTTCATTGTTTACTTTTTTTTTAGTTCATTGAAATTTAAACTTTAATCTTAATTTGTAACATAGTTTTCAAAAGATGAACATTAAAATTTGGAAGCCATGTTAGGCGAATGTCTGTAAATAATTTTAAATGATATTATTTTATATACATTTATAATATAATTTATAATATATATATAATATAATTATAAATAATATTATTAGTAATATAGTTTTAAATAATTATATTTTGTATGACTGTATATGTAATATATAATTTTAAATAATAATATTTTGTATAATTGTATAATTAATATATAACTTTGTATATTTTATATATTAAATAAACACGAAAGCATGTTTGTTTAATATATAATTTTGGTTTTTGGAAATTTGAAATTAGAAACTACTA